ATCTAACAACTGAGCATTCTGGGATAACAGTCTTATCATATTGGCAGAAACAAGGTAGGCAGATCGGCTTTGTGGGCAGCTGGGACTGCCTGACTTCTCTAAAGCTGAAGTACTAAAAATACTACCAGCAGCTGAGGGTCTTATGAGCCATGTTGTGATGGGAACTTTATGCAATGTTATTTTTGTTTGTTTGTTTTTGCTTTTTTTTTGAGACAGAGCCTCAGGCTGTCGCTCTGGGTAGAGTGCTGTGGCATCACAGCTCACAGCAACCTCCAACTCCTGGGCTTAAGCAATTCTCTTGCCTTGGCCTCCCAAGTAGCTGGGACTACAGGTGTCTGCCACAATGCCCAGCTATTTTTTGGTTGCAGTTGTCACTATTGTTTGGCAGGCCCGGGCTGGATTCGAACCCACCATCTGTGGTGTATGTGGCAGGTGCCTTAGCCGCTTGAGCTACAGGAGCCAACTTTATGCAACTTTTACTGATCATCTACAAGGTGCCATGAACTGATATAATTCTCACTGCTACTCAAATGAATGCATTTGTACAAAGACCTTCCCACATTTGGAACCAAATGTGGGATTAAAACAAGAGACCCTTGGCTTTCTAACTCTGTGACCTTGAATGAATGACTTTCTGAGGCCCCAATTTCCTTAGCTATAAAGTGGCAGTAATAATGCCTACCCTTACTCTGGGAAGAACAGAGATAATACATAGACCAATCTCCGTCAGCACAGTACCTACAATGTGGTAGGCACTCATTTGTGAAAATTATTATTTTCATTATTCAGAGGAATCATCACCCCTACTTTCTGTGAGAACTGATTTAGCCAAGTCCCTCGGCCAGTGTGAGAGCCGGGCATTGACCCAGTCCATCGGTCTCCAAAGTCCTTACTCTTTCCACAGCACTACTTCCTGCCAGTCTCTGGGGGGCAATTCATTGCTCTGGTCTTAACTATTAATTCCTAGGGAATGTATTTTTAATTGAAAATAAATTAGCTTATTGTGAATATAGATGGTCGCAGTAAATACGACTCTATCCACGACATTCTACTGATCAATATTCAGTGTCTGCTTCTGATGGGAAAGCCAAGAAAAAGATACGTGAAAACAGGACATATTGTCCCATGTGACAGATGCCATCAACCCAGCCAGAAAGCACTTTCCCAGTCTCAGCCCCTCTGTGAGTCCAGCCCCACTTTCCTCAGGCTTTGGGGCTGAGCCCAGCCTGTGCATACACTGCCCGAAACAGCCACTTCTTGACTCTGTGCCTGACAAGTTTTCTCACATCCCTCCAAGCCTCAGTTGTGACGCCTCTGTCTCAGAAGGCCTCCCCCTCAGGAGGCCTCCCCCTCAGAGACACCTCTCCTGAGATTGCTCAGTTTCCAGTGTCCCCGAAACCCTCTGTTCTTAGCTCTGCACCAGAGCTTACTACCCGGTATCTGACAATTTACGTATCTGTATATGTCTCTCTCCCACCAGATTAACAATTCCTTAGGAGACTGTGAAGCTAGCATTGTTCATTTCCAAGGCCTTGTTCCATTGTCACAGGATGCAGAGTCAGGTCAGATGAAGTATTTGTTGAGTAAGTGAAGTCATCTTGTCCATCTTCCTGTGTTTGAGTTCAACCAAGCACAGCCTTTTTCTATTTTGGTTTTATATGTACCACATGCTGGTGCCTCCTCGCCTCCCCTTCAGTGACAGGCTCCACAGGCTAATAAATCTGCCTTGCTCGCTGCATTCCGTCCCTGCAGCCTGTCTACCAGCCACACAGAAATAGCCACAGTATGGGGACCACCTCGCCCTGTGCATTCACGGCAGAACACAATGATTCAACACTTCCAAAACAGGCACACAAGATGCAAATGGTTTTAAAAAAAAAAATAGACCAAAAGCCAAACTGAACAAAAACACGAAGGAAAAAAACCAGGAAGAGATAGATGTGAGCCCAGGCATGCCAAAGGCAGGTTTTATCAGGCCCTGGCAGGCAGACTTTTGCTGGTATATACAGAGATACCCCACGCGACATGGGGGCTCGGTAGGCATTGCCACCTGCCTCCTCCTCACTGTACTTCCAACAGTCTGCTGAAATAGCTTGTTACTTCTCTTTACATTTGAGGAGACTGAGGATCAGTACTCATGATTTATACACATCAAACTGCATGAGGGGCAGAGCCAAGTGCCTGACTCTGTGCCCGACAAGTTTTCTCACATCCCCCCAAGTCTCATCCACAATCTGCCTAATTCTTAGTCCTGTGCACAATTCCATCCCCCACAGACATTCAGGAGGAAGTGCTGGTTAAAAAAACAAGCCCCTTGGTAAAGCAGCTGCTGATGTTAGTGAGCATGAGAGACTCGGCTGACTGGGTAGCAGCCCTGTACTAGTTGGAGGTGGGGTGGATACCCCTCATTTTCATTCCCTGGAGGCAATGTCCAGGCTTGGCCATGGGAGGTTCCTGCACCTGGCATGCTGCTTATGGCCTCCTGCAGCTCCTCTGAGGCTGCAATGCCCAGCTCAGAGAGCCTCACCATCAGTGGAGCCCTGCTCCAAGTTCAGCTCAGAGCTGTCCTGGTCAAGAAGCGGGTAGGAGAGCCCAGGTAGACACCCTGCGGCTGGAAAGAGGAGCCAACCTGCCTTCCCAGCAGGTGCAGGAGGGGCCCGTTCCCAGGAGAACCTCACCAGTGAGCTAGACACTCAGTCCCAGTTTCCCAAAGGGAAATTAGCATCTGGGCAAAGTCCGGGAGAAGCCTTAGAAATACCAGCACCAAGTCCCAGCTACTTGGGAGGCTGAGGCAAGACAATTGCTTAAGCTCAGGAGTTGGAGGTTGCTGTGAGCTATGATGTCGAAGGTCACCAGATATTAACATTGGTAAAGCGGGGGTGGGGGGGTTCTTAATTAAAAATTTGGTCTATATGGAGCAACAAAAATTTTCATAGAATGCAAAAATAGTATTGTAATATATATTTTTAATTTCAACATAAGTACAATTTACAAATATAATACATTTAAAAAATTAAAAAAAAAAAAAGAAATACCAGCACCCGTGGAAGAGGGAGTACTCAGGTATTAAGACTGATACGAAGTCTTTCCTGACACTGGGATGGGGGAAGGAGGGAACAGCCTCAAGAAACAAAAATAAAAGTCAACCTCCTAAAGACAGAAAATGATGAGAAATAGGTAAGTAGCTGTAGGTCAGTGCCAGACAATGTTCTGAAAAAAGCAGGAGTTTTGGCTGAGACAGCCCAGGATTCCAGTCCTGTTTCACTACCCGGGAACTGTGGGTATTTGACAAGTTGATCCACTTGCCTGGGCCTCAGCGGTCCTCATCTGTACCGCGCAGTGATAGCACCAGAGTGGCTTGGTACAGGCCTCTGTGGCTGGGCTGAGCTCAGAAGACAACTGCCCAGGCAGCCTCTGTCTTGCCCTCACTGGTTCTGAGACACTGGAACAAAAAGGAACTCTCGAGTGGGATCCAGGGTCCTCAGAAGCCTATAGAGGTCCCCGCTCCAGGCGGAGGGCAGGAGCCAGGCTGTCTCCAGCCCGCTGCCGCTCCTCACTCGCTCCTTGCACCAATGGGTTCTGTTAGCTCAGGACAAGCAAGGGCCCCCCAAGTATCCCCTGGGACGCAGGGGTCTGCCTTTCCCACCTGGCCAAGGTCACTCGCTAGCTGGCGGGAGACCAGTCCTTCCACAGCTGCGCCCTGGGAGCAGGAGCTAAGGCCTGGGACGGGTCTCTGTCCCCTTCTACGCCGGGAAGCCAAGTCACAGCCCCCCAGGAGGCTTCTCTTCTCCTGCCCTCCAGCTCTTGTCCCCTGGGTGGGGGCGGTTCCATGCAGTAGGGGGGCAGGGAGGAGGAGGAGATTCTCGGGGCCTCTCGCAGCCCCTCCCTCCCGTCTCCAGGGCCTGGGAGAGAGCATGTTTACAGACTGGAGACAGCTCTTCCCTCACCTGTGTGCCCCGCCCATCCCCACAGAGCGGGCAATCACTTGGCTGGGGGCCGGGAAGGCTTCGGAACAGGCAGGCAGACGTCCCCTTGGCCTGCCGCAGCCCTCTCCCGCCTCCACCGGCGTGGGCAACACCTCTGGTCTCCTGGGGGGATGCTCCCACTCCAGGCAACTCGAGTGCGTGCGTGTGCTGGGGAGGGGCGCTGGTTAGCAGCTGGGCGACCCCCTCATGGCCCGCAGACAAGAGCCTCAAGACAGGCCTGGAAGGAGGTGAGGGTGCAGCTGCTGCCAGATGTGCTGGGGACGGCTCAGGAAGGAGAGGGTGGTGGAACCGGCGCTCGCCGCAGCATCTCGCTCGGGCGGCTCCGGAGGGAGCTCTGGGGGGCCCCTGGAGCAGCCGCGTCCCCGACTCAGGCAGCGGCTCGCTGCACTGCGGAGTGGCGTCCTGGGAGAGCAGCCGCCCCCAGCCCCGGCGCCCGGCAGCCAGGCAGCCAGGCAACCCGCCGCGGCAGCATCCCCGGCTGGAGTGCGGGGGCTCCCACGTCAGGGCCCCGCCGCCCCCCGGGCGAGGCGTTCGCGCGTTACCTTCCACTTTGGTGAGGGTCAGGACCGGACTGTTGCAGGCGCTGAGCGGGGCCACCCGGGCCGAGTGCTTCTTCATGATGAGCCGGCCGCCTGCAGGAGCGCTGCCGCCGATCGCCTACATCCTGGGGCCGGCTGGAGCGCGCCTCTCCGGGGCCCTCCTCCGCGGGGAAGCGCCAGCGGCTCGCCCCTCTCGGTCCCGGCCTCCCGGGCTGCCGCCGGCTCGGGTCTCCGCGCTGCTCTCTGCGGCGGCCGCCCCGCCGCGCACATCCTCCCGGCCGCGCAGCCACTCCGCACACACACGCGCGCACAGCCTCCTACTCTGAGGGTGCTGCAAACTCCAACGTCACGTCCAAGTGCACTCCCCACTCCCACACCGCGGCTCACCTGCTCCGCCCTCCGCCCTGGGACGCCCAGCCCTGCAGCCCGGTCCCTCCCTTCCTCCCAGCCGCGTCCTGACTGCAGCCTCGCTCAGTCGCCACTTCCCGACCAGCCCTTGCTAAGGGGAGACCCTCAGAACTAAGCCCCCGTGTCGCACAAGTTTACAGAGGGAGGCGCCTGACGTTGGATTGAGAGTTGACTCTTCCCTAGACAAAGTCCTGAATTGTTTCACACGGAGTTGGGAAAAAGCAACGCTTCCCAAAGCCTGCACGGCACCCTGGCCAGCTCTTTTGGGGGAACAAAGTGCAAAGTCTGCAGAATCAGAATAGCCACAAGAAAGCAAAGGCTTGAGGTCGTTTTTGTAGCTGTCCCACCTCCTCAGTCCGCTGAGTCTTGATATGCCCGGGACGCAGGAAAACTCTGTTTCTGCCCCAGCTTTCAGGTGTTCGCTGCAGCCGCAGGGCCGGCGTTTGCCTGCACCAGCTTCACGCTCTCTCTAAGCCCAGCTGTAAGCTGCTGGCCAATGGTGCCTGCTAAGAAGCAATGATATGCCTATTGCATCACGTACGGGTGTGATCCCCGAGTCACCGCTGGCTCCAGTCTTCAAAAGTGCCCTGCAGGTGGGACGCACGGGGCTCCTGCAGCCCAGAATCTCAGGGGCTTTAGCGACATCTCATTCACACATCCCCGACCATCAGTTTTGGTCCCAGCCTCCACTGGCAATCTGAAGGATCAGTTCAGATTCCAGGGGGCTAAGTCCTTCTGCAGAGTTTCAGAACCTTCAGCGTCACCTGGTTTCCTCTCTTAAAGTGGATATCCATTGTATGATGTCACTCTGACCCCCCTCGGGTAACGCAGTGTAGCGCTGCAGGTGGAGAGGAAACGTTAAGAGGAACAGGAGTTCCCTAGCTGGGCACCTACCGCTGGGTGACATCCACCTGCAGAGCCGCAGGCCTCCCCAACAAGTGGCTCTTACAAGTTGCTCTGGTAGGGTTATTTTTATCACTTGTTCTCCTGAACAGCTGTGATGAATAGAATGCCCTTGGGTCTCCAGAAGGTCAGAACTTCTCAGGATTGCTTCCCCCTCACTACGTTCAAGGAAAGGTATTTAGAGCCTCTTCAGGAGCCCTGGAGTGGACCACATAATACGCCTCTTACAGGGAGCTTGTCTCAAGACGCCCTAGTGATAACCTACAATCAACCAATAACCTAGTTCCTTCTTTGGAAAAATTAAACGCAATAAGCTTAATGTAGAGCCATTGCATGTTCTATTGTAAGAGGACCTTTTATTACAAAATAGTATTTCTATGTGTTGTTTGATAAACATGTATTGTATACGTAGTAACTAAATATTGTATAACAGTTCTCACATTCGAGCACTTACTCTCTGTCAGATACTGGGAAGCATTTTGCATAAATCATTTCATCTTCTTCTCACCAAGGCTCTGTAAGGTTGTTGTTGTTTTGTTTTTCTGATGGAGAAACAGAGGTTCAGTGAGGCTAAATAACATGTCTTGGGTCCTCTAGGGCCTGGCCAACTAGGGGATTGACATCTGAGTGTGAGTGATCCCACATGCTGCACTTATAACCACTATGCGACTTTCCTAAATATCGTAAATAAAAATGCAGAAATTCCCAGCTATTCCAAGTCAGGAGAGAGATGTATTCCATGTCCTGTCATTGGAATGTGATCTTGAGGGATTTCATCACGCTGGGGCATGATGAAAATATTTACTTTCTGGGTGGTGCCTGTGGCTCAAAGGAGTAGGGCACCGGACCCATATGCTGGAGGCGGCGGGTTCAAACCCAGCCCTGGCCAAAAAATGCAAAAAAAAAAAAAAAAAAAAAAAAAAAAAAAAAAAAAGAAGAAAATATTTACTTTCTATTTATTACAATGTTTTGTATAAGTCAAAGAGTTAACAGCTAAATATTGTTAAATACTCCTATCATTATCTAAACTCATTCAATAACCATTATCTAAATCCCGTTTGTTCTCTCCTCTGCAGGTTGCCCCAGGGGCTGTTGGTACCCAGGAAGCCACCACCTCCTCATATTGTTAACTTCTGCTTATCAAATAGAGGTTACTATCAGTCACCTCAGCCTCCTACCCTTAATTTTTTTTTTAATAGAGATTGGATCTTGTTAGATTGCCCAGCCTGGTCTGAAACTCCTAGCCCGAAGCAATCCTCCCACCTCCCAAGTAGCCTCCCAAGCAGCTGGTCTTCCCTTTAATTCTAAGCACTATGTCCTGTTTCTGCCTCTCATTTTTCATACTCAAAACCATCAGCCCTGTGTCTCTCAACTTGCGTTTCAATAGAAAAACTGTCCCACCCTTAAAAAACCCAAATGTCACATACTCTTCTTCAGACCAGCAGTTTTCTGCTTGCTTGACCAGATGAGTACTGCTGTTCTTGAAGTGAACACTTTTTGAGAATGGGATATGGTGGGGACGCATATTTAAAAACTTACATAAACAAAACACATCATCTGGGATGATGTGCTTGCAC